GAAGTCAAACTGATATGGCCTCATAATCTAGCAGTTATTCCTGCAAAAGGTGAGATCTCTGAAACTTTCTATTTGGATATGAGGTCCAAAGATACAAACTACAATATGTACAGAGTGTCAAATTATGCAAAAGGGATTAGTTTTATGAAAGATTTTCACAGGTGTATGCAATTTTATTACAGCAATAAAAACAGACCCATTAAAGAACATTCATAACAAAAAGAGAGGTAGCAAAAAGATAAATATTACCATAAATTGGTAATACTCAAAACCCCCACGTTCATGAAATTGGGAGGGCAGATAATTGGAAACAAACTTGAATAACAATGATCCGTGGCAAAATAAAGATGAAGATATTCAAAATGTACAAATGGAAGCCATTTTTATTGTAACCTTGCATTTTAAGATTTCCAACTTATTAGTTAATCAAATTATTATGGAATGTAATAGTGATTTATTTCAGACTCAGAAAAATTCTATTGATTTAGTTTTGGAAAAGGCAGCATAACCTTTGAAGTAGAAAAAAGTATTTAACAAAGGATCATTGAACAATGAACAAATATATTGAAGCCCTTGGTAGATCACACTCTTAAGATGAAATGACAGCAAATCCAAGACGAAAACACAAGAGAAAATGTGTCAAATTAAGTGCAATATCAGTGGAGGTGATGGACAGAGAAGCCCTGAGCAGCATATCTATTATTATGCAAAATTCCCTGCCATGTTGCAAAATATTTTACCTTCAATATTTTTTTTTTCTTTTTAACTAAGATGAGCAAAGCAGATGGTGTTCTGGTTGGGTTACAAGGGAAGAGAAGCATCCAGTAGAGGCAGAGGCTAATGCTAAGGGGTAGGAAAGGTAGGTTTTTGCTGGAATTATTGGAAACAAATTGGTTGAATCTTGGCATGTACCAGATGGAGTAAATAGTTTTCAGACTTGATTTATGAATAAGTCACTGTTTATGCTCAAGACTTGTATTCATGCAAAACAATGTATGCACACAGTATTTAGCAGCAATGGCCATCTCCCTGATTAACATGCGTTTCAGAAATTGTTGATCACTGAACTGGTCACCATTTTCTACAGATCTAAACCCAATTGAAAATCTTTGCAGTATCAAGAAGAGGAAGGTGTATGAAAATGTTCATATGTTTGCAACTAAAAATGTATGGCAAGCTATTGTGACAAGTGGAAAAGTTATTATGGCTAAAGAAATTCAAAATTTGAATTCAGTAAATGATTGGTATCTTTTGACTTGAAATGTATTAGTTTCATTTTCAAAACATGATTATTAGTAATTTCTGTATTTCATGAGCTTTTTAACTTCTTTCATTGTATGCTATTGAATTATTTAATCAATCTGTAATTTGTATCCTTGTTTCTATACATAAAGCTTAATAATTTGGCAAGCAAAAATATCACTTAAGTTTAATATTTACAGATATTGTATAATAATTACTGTGTCAAGAAGCATTTAACTTTTCCTATAGCAACAGGATAAAGGGAATAATATTTTTATCATAATTTGTCATGCATATTTTTTTTTCTAACTTAAATCTATCAAGCATTTTTAGCCAATGTGGATGAATTGTTACAAGCAGTAGATTAGTGTCTTTGCAGGCTTTACAGATTTCCATTTGCAACTGAAAAGAATCAGCAACAAAAAGTAACTTTTTTTTTATCTCAATGTTCATCTATGAAAAGATAAATTTGAAATTTTATCACAACTTTAACATATTAACCTCTCACCTCCTCTTAAGAGTCACGTCTTTTTGTTATTGGAGAAAAGGTCATTATATTTAAAATTATTATGACCTTTACTACTAACAGAAAAGTAGCTTATGTTAATAAGTTTGCATGATAAACAAGAATAAAGGGAAGTGTTTCATGTATTTTATAAAGAATAGACCAGATTTCTTAAATGTCAAAGTTTTCGTTAAGTTAATATTAAAGAAATTTATTTTTTCAAGTTGCCATTTGTCTTTGTTTTAATTAATTTTTAAAGAATTCACTTTATTAAACGCATTAAAAATTAAAGAAAAAAAAACAAATTGTTGGAAATGGCCTTTACTTAAAAGATGCAAGTCCTCCATTGGCTGAACTTATTTATAGATAAGTAAAAAACTTTTCTATGTACATGAAGCAACATTCTTAGCAAAGGCTCATTTTCTTTTAAATTAATCATGATGTCTATCCAAGAATAATATCTTCAGTTGCTACCTTTCTCTCTACATAGAACCTAAGAATGATAATCTGTCCGCAGATCTTCTGACCGAGTATTTTATATTTTATTTAAGAAAATACCTAGACTAATGACCCTAGCTTATTGGCATCTAATGTCAAGACAAGTTGATTAATTTGGGTTAGATACTAATAACAAATTTTACTGTTGTGGATGTATTCATTGATAATGGAGGCAATTATTGACAATGCATCACATGATGATCAAACAAGTGAAATCTGACAAGAAATTAGCAAGGATATACTGAACGGAATAAATTCACGTGTATAATGGCTCCTGTAGACAAATGAAAGAAACATGGGAAAGAAGGAAAATTCACACACAACTTATGGGAAAATGCTGACAGATTGTTGGGGAGAGAAAAAGAAATGTTATCAGATTTAGTTTATTAATTCCAATCATGTGATCTACAATAGCAAATGTGGATAAAGGTATGTGGAAGAGGGGAATGCGTAAAAGTTCTCAATCCAACCAAGATTTTAAATAAAAAATAAATAAATAAATAAAATTTATGTTTGATTATTTGGTTAAATTTTAGAAGTGAGTCAAGATGAGAAATTTTCAGCACATCCTTGTAGATGTAATCATGTCAAGTTCATATACACAAATTTTTATCAAATCTAATCTGTGTGTTTATATTTAAAGTAACCAAATTCTGATTTATTAATTTTCTAGGATTTCTCAAAACCTTTGCAGGTTATTTAAAGCCAGGAAATATTTTTCAGTTGTAAGAATTGTTTTGTTTCTTTTTCTGTGGGTAGATAATAATGGTTTAGTGATACAAGCCTTACTAATTAACACATAACTGGGGGAGAAGAGGTGGATTCATACCTTTCCCAAAGGTATTTGCAAGTAAGTTATATAACAAACCTGATGAGAATTGGAACTTGGCTCTCTAATTAACAATTCCAAGCTTATTATCCTTTATATCACTCATATATCCAAATTTACAGCACCTTGTATTTTCAAATGGTCGCTTATCTAGGTACTGACCAAACTCAACATTGCTTAACTGTAGTGATCGTACACTGTTTTGAACATGTAAGAAAACAATAAATAGCAACTCTAAATGTATTACTTCAAAAGGCAATAATTCTTGTATTCATAAACAAATAAACTAATGAGGAAAAAAGTATTATTTTGCTTAATATAAATTATACAGAAAGCCTCATTTCGAAAGCACATACATTTACAACACTTTGCATTCAACAAGTTTTTGAGAGCCATTCTTTTGTTACAAACTGTCTGATAGTCTCCTCTATATCAGTGAATGAGGACAATTTCCTGAGAGATGAAGAGACTTGAAGCTACAAATGTGGGTCAACCAATGTTAAGAATACCATAGAGAGAATATGTAAGAGACAGGAACTTTTAATGAGAATAAGAACAAAGAAACTGCTGTTAACAATAAAAGAAAACGGTAAGGAAAGGCGGCTTGGCAAATTTAATATGGGTCATACTGAAGGCAAGTGAAGCTGCAGGACAAGGCATGTACTTGACATGTTTGAGCAAAAATGGATAGCAGAACAAAGACCACAAAGACAAGGTGGATGCTGGAAAAAGGTTAAGAGTTATTTAGAGCAACAAAAGATAGGAAGTTGTGGAGAGCCATGATCACCCATGTCCTTAAGAGATATGAAATCAAAGAGTCAAGTTCACATTCCAGTCAATGCACTTTCATGCAAATATCTTTGGGAAAGGTATAAATCCTGGAGTCCCTCAGTTATGGGTTAAATAGTAAGTCAGACTGGTGTCTTCAAGACTTGAGTGACAACCAGTCTAAGAGAAGAAGGACAACTCTGAATTCACAATTGTATATCGCTCTGGCGAAGCAAATACTATACAGTTACTAAGAGGATCATAGAGTTTACAATGATTATAATCTGAACAGCAGCAGACTTTGTACTAACAAATTTGACAAGTCAGTCTTTAATTTTTTTTTGTTGTTAATGATTAATATTCCTTTAAACTGTTGTAGATATAAACATCTATGAAAGACTGCTTACAGTGAATTTATAGAATATTAAAATGTTTGATTCTGTAAAACCTGCTGAATAATGAATTGCATTACATTTGGTTCTAGTTTCCAATTTAAAGCAAAGTTCTATTGTATATTTAATTCTTTTTGCTTAGATTCAAATTTACTTCAATGAACACCTTGCATGATATACGCTTGTAGAAAATCAATATTTGATTAAAAATTCAATTTCAATATTTATTCCTATGATTCTCAAAATATAAATGAAGGACTTGGCATTTGTTTACTGAACTGGAAAGCAGAAAATAGAATGTATTGTGCAGTCAAATGGCAGATAGAATTACAAAGTGGAGAAATACAAATAGAGAAACTGGCTCTTTGGCCACTTGACCCAATATTTAAGCAGATTTTTCAGTTTTAGGTATTCTTCTTCTGTCAGAGTTTCGACACAACATCTATGTTAAGGATTGTAAAAATACACACATTCATATATCACTAGGAGAAGGATGGAAGAATTACTTGCTCAAGGTCCACAGATAAAGAAACTGTTTCTTAGCTTCCATTAAATCTATTTCTGTTTAATGGAATGTCAGTATTTGAAAGAGAGAATAATATTGTAGCAGATGCCAACTTGTGCAAAATGCACAATAGCTGCAGAAAATGTAATGATGGTCATAAAAGTTGTGGATACCAAATTATCACAAAATGTATTTTGAATATAAGCAAAGCAAAATTATCATAGACATCAAGGAATGTTAGATTCATATCATGTATTTCTTTTAATTCGGAGAAAGCAATAAACTGATAGGCAGGCAACGAGAGAGAGCAAGAGAAACTGATAGGCAGGCAACGAGAGAGAGCAAGAGAAACTGATAGGCAGGCAAAGAGAGAGAGCAAGAGAAACTGATAGGCAGGCAAAGAGAGAGAGCAAGTAACTGATAGGCAGGCAAAGAGAGAGAGCAAGTAACTGATAGGCAGGCAAAGAGAGAGAGCAAGTAACTGATAGACAGGCAAAGAGAGAGAGCAAGTAACTGATAGACAGGCAAAGAGAGCAAGTGAGAAACTGATAGACAGGCAAAGAGAGCAAGTGAGAAACTGATAGACAGGCAAAGAGAGCAAGTGAGAAACTGATAGACAGGCAAAGAGAGCAAGTGAGAAACTGATAGACAGGCAAGTAGAGAGAGAGAGAGAAACTGATAGACAGGCAAGTAGAGAGAGAGAGAGAAACTGATAGACAGGCAAGTAGAGAGAGAGAGAGAAACTGATAGACAGGCAAGTAGAGAGAGAGAGAAACTGATAGACAGGCAAGTAGAGAGAGAGAGAGAAACTGATAGACAGGCAAGTAGAGAGAGAGAGAAACTGATAGACAGGCAAGTAGAGAGAGAGAGAAACTGATAGACAGGCAAGTAGAGAGAGAGAGAAATTGATAGACAGGCAAGTAGAGAGAGAGAGAGAAACTGATAGACAGGCAAGAGAGAGAGAGAAACTGATAGACAGGCAAGTAGAGAGAGAGAGAGAAACTGATAGACAGGCAAGTAGAGAGAGAGAGAGAAACTGATAGACAGGCAAGTAGAGAGAGAGAGAGAAACTGATAGACAGGCAAGTAGAGAGAGAGAGAGAAACTGATAGACAGCAGAGAGAGAGAGAGAAACTGATAGACAGGCAAGTAGAGAGAGAGAGAGAAACTGATAGACAGGAGTAGAGAGAGAGAGAGAAACTGATAGACAGGCAAGTAGAGAGAGAGAGAGAAATGAGAGAGAGACAGGCAAGTAGAGAGAGAGAGAGAAACTGATAGACAGGCAAGTAGAGAGAGAGAGAGAGACAGGCAAGAGAGAGAGAGATAGATAGACAGGCAAGTAGAGAGAGAGAGAGAAATTGATAGACAGCAAGTAGAGAGAGAGAAGAAACTGATAGACAGGCAAGTAGAGAGAGAGAGAAACTGATAGACAGGCAAGTAGAGAGAGAGAGAGAAACTGATAGACAGGCAAGTAGAGAGAGAGAGAGAAACTGATAGACAGGCACAGAGAGAGAGAGAGAAACTGATAGACAGGCAAGTAGAGAGAGAGAGAAACTGATAGACAGCAAGTAGAGAGAGAGAGAACTGATAGACAGGCAAGTAGAGAGAGAGAGAAACTGATAGACAGGCAAGTAGAGAGAGAGAGAAACTGATAGACAGGCAAGTAGAGAGAGAGAGAAACTGATAGACAGGCAAGTAGAGAGAGAGAGAGTGAGAGAGAAACTGATAGACAGGCAAGTAGAGAGAGAGAGTGAGAGAGAAACTGATAGACAGGCAAGTAGAGAGTGAGAGAGAGAGAAAGGAACAGGAAGACAGGCAGAGTAAGAGAATGAGAGATAGATACACATATATAGATAGTGGGAGAGAGAATGGGAGATCTGTCTGCTATGAAAATGATTGGATCAGTTGTCACCATTCTACTTTCCTGATACTCCAGAATACAGAATCTATGTAGAATCAATGCAGCTGTTGCACCAAAATGTCAGATACTACTTGAATGTTATATATTCTAGCCTAAGAAGGACACCTAAATTTCTATGTCTTCTCATGAAGTGTGAAGGTGCTTAATATTGGGGCTGAGCAATGTAATATTACAGTTATTCTTTTACATACAAACAGAGAGATAAGTGTTGCTTCAGGAAGCTGAATCTACTTTGGTTTGGGTCACCTTTAAGTAACAGAAATATGAATATAAACACAGATGAATACACTCACATAACTAAGTTCAAGGTTACCTTGAACAAAGACTTTGAAAAAAAAGAAAAAAAAAGATATTTTAAAAAAATATTGTAATCTGTGTGTGCGTGTGTGAAATGGCATTATAGTCAGTATAAATTCTGTACAAATATGGAATGCAAACTTTTTCAATTTTTCTAATCAATCAGAATTCCACCTAAAAATTTTTAGGAAACTAAAATAAATTATAAATAACTGAGATTCAACTTCGGTTTTCAGAAATTTGTTTCATTGTAAAGTCACACTGCACAAATTTAGAGCCACAATAAAAAGTTTTATAAATTCATAGAAACCGGAATTGGTAAAGATGAAATTTCAGTTGAGGCTTACTATGTCCTCGTTATCTTTGTAAATGCATGACTCCATTTTCCTTACAATGTCAGCATCCTATATGTTGATTTTTTATGATTTGAATTGGTAGAGATGTGTCAAATTCTTTTCTGCAGCTATTGCCATATAGTCAACAGGATACTTGGAGATAAGTTCAGTACAGACAAATAATCACCGTCTCATTGAAATTCTAAGAGAGACTTGATTGATTCATTTGTTTTTTTTTTGTTTTTTTGTTAGAGTTTATCAACTCTTTGTAGGATATTTAAAACTGAAATATTTTGAATTGTAAGAATAATTCTATATTTTTTGTAAGTGAATATTGCATTAATTTTTTTTTTTTTTTTTAGAGAATAGCAATGATTTTTCCAGATATAATTCATACTATTTATCCCATACCTGAAGGGGAAGAGATGGATTCAAACTTTTCTCAAGAGTAGTTGCATGCAAGTGAATGTAATGAAGCTGACTGGAATTAGAACTTAGTTCACCAATTTCTCATTCTGAGCCACTATACATTACTCCACCTGCACATCCCCTAAGGGAAAGAAGCCTGTACAAAACTTGCAAGTTAAGAGCCACTTATCTCCAAACACAATCTGTGTGGATCAGGTATATAGTACATAATCCTGTATTGAAAATGATAGGTTAATATTTGTATTTGAGATATATATATATATATATATATATATATATATATATATAAACCAGCAATTAATCTATTACTTTTTATTAGATTCCAAAATATTTAAGAGTAATTGGTATCTATATAACAAGGGTTACCAAATTATATTGCATTTGAAAGCACAGTATCATAATATTCAGCACACCTTATTTTAAATGTAGCCTAAAAAGTCACAAGTAATGAAATTTAATAATTATTTTTTAATCATTTCAAATCAAGCAAGGCAATAAAGCCACTAGGATGCAAGATGTTGTTGAATGTGAGAGAATATGAGAAAAAAAACAGCTAAGGAGAGAGAGCAATAACTAATAATAAATAATGGTGGACTTTCAAATGTAGCCAAATTTGCCAACCCGATTGTGAGGTTTTATCAAGATATACAAGGGAGTTCACAAAAGTTCTTTTCCTAGACAAGAAGTAATAAAAAAAGAAAAAAACTGTTTGTCCAGATTTGGTAAGTGGATTAAGCTGAGCACTTTTCAACACCCACCCCTGTGTGTGTGTAACACATGGGGGCGTGGAAAACTTAACCCCAGCTCACTTCCCAGTATACTGATTTTGTGGAATGTGTTTGAGAAACAGAAAAATGTTTGTATTTATCTCTGATGATTATTTGCATTATTTGGACTGTTAGCCTCATCTTCATTGCCATATTCGAAATGTTTCAGTTGTTTTATGCTCTGGCCTTCTTTTATTTTGCCCACTGGGGTAGATTGCTTTAAATCAAAAAACTTGGAGAGTTGAGTTAAAGGAAAATAACTGAGACATCTGGAAGAGGCATAGCATGTGGAACAAGAACAATCTACCCTGGTCAATGAGATAAAGAGTTCAGTTCGAAATTTCAATCACGTGAAGAAGGCCAGAGTGTACAATGGCTGAAATGTTGTAAATATGGCAATGAAGATGAGGATAACAGTCTGAATAATGTAAATCAGGCATGTCAAACTCAAGGCATATGGTGGGCCGCATCTGCAGCCTTGAGAGCTCCACCTCTTACAGTCTTACATTAATCACAGCTAGTGGTAACTAAACTTTAAATATAAAATACTTAAAATACAAGGTAGTATAATTTAATCATTTTTATGTTGTCCTGATGATTGAAATTGCTTTAGACAAACTATTCTTGATATATCAGGTTGGAATGTGTGTCAATCACACTTTGATCAAAGATGACAAATACTCATCAGTTAATCTGGTTTTGTGAGATGTTTTTGTGGCCTTCATAAATTAAAATAATTGCTCACAGATATATGTGGAACCATACATAATCTTTGTGGCAAACTTTCTGAAGTTCTTAAATGTTTGAGGAAGGTATGAAAAAAATCTGGGTACCCCTACTTCTAGGTACTTTCCCTTGAGTGTTGAGTTAGTCTGCATTTCCAGTAGTTCCATCTGTAGACTTTCCTCTGCCTGAGCAACATCAAAAGTGAATGGTGCTGAGAATAATGAAAACTGATCTTCACAAAATGAAAAAAAATCACAAAATCTTCACTGAAATTCCTTTGACAGCAATTCCAGGTAGCCGCCGTACTTAGCAAAGATAAATACAAACTCAGTATTGGCAGGTTTTTTCAACTCCTTGCACATAGGAAAATGAATCAAGTTTTCATGTGACAACTGGGACTTAAATAAATCTAATTTTGCAATGAAACACTTGATATCATCATATAATTGAGTGATGAGCTTATTTTTACCTTGTAATTTCAAATTAAGGTCACTTAATTGGGCAGTAATATCCACTGAAAAAGCTAGATCTTGGAGCCAGATTTCATCTTTCAATTCATCTGTGCTTTGACCCTTCATATCCCAAAACAATTTTGCATCACAATAAAAAATTTTTTTCAGTATCTTGTGACATGAAAGCCACCAAACTTCTGTGTAGAATGGGACATTTTTGAACTGATTTATTCATGTCTTCCAATAACTGGCTAAACTGATGTTGATGCAGAGCACAACTTCTGATACAGTTCACTGTTTTTATGACAAAACTCAACACATGATCTAATTTTAAAATCTTAGAACATAAGTTCTCTTAATGAATTATATAGTGAAAATGCTTGAATGTTGAATTTGGATATATGTTTTCTATTTTTGTACTTAACTTGGCAGCAACACTTATGTCTCCCAAACATATTGGCAGCACCATCAGTAGATAAAAACAAAAGTTTACTCAAATCAAGGCCATACTCATGGAGAAGTTGTTCAACTTCCTCAAAAATGTCCTCTTGTTGGAGTTGGGACCAATTTAATTAATTCTTCATAAATTTGAAATTCATTGTCAGAAGGCCTGATGAAAATGGCGAGCTGTGCTATTCCAGCTATGTCAACAATCTCATCCAGAGCAATAGAAAAATGTTCAAAACTTGATGATAAAGTCTTCAACTGTTGACTCAAATCATCTGCCATTTCATCAATCCATTCAGCAACAGTATTCCTGTTTAATGAAATGTCTTGAAATAAGAGTGACTTCTTTGGACATACAATTTCAGCAGTTTTTACAAGACATTGCTTTATGAAATCTCTAAGATTTTCCACTGATTGCAATCATTTTGCAGAGTTTAAAGCTTGCAGTAACAGAACTAACATTACCTTTTTGAATTTTTATAAAGCAACTATTGCTGTGTTAACTTAACCTTGAATTCCTTCCATTTTGAAACTCACATACCTCCTCTATATTTATTACAAGATCATTCGTCTGTTTGATAATGTCTTTTCACATTATATTCTTTTGCCATCACAATGCAGTGGTTGCAAATTAAACAGTTTATCTTTCCATTAAGAGTGGTACAGAAGTACTGTAATTCCCACTTTTCTTGAAACACACGTCCTTCTTCAGATAATTTTCTCTTTTTACAAGATGGAGTAGAATTCAAAATATTACAAAATTTTCACTTTATACTTGTTCTTTTTTTAGTTGTCAATGATGATCACATGATTAACTGGAAGTTAAAAATAGTTGCTGACATTCAAAAACCAAAAAACATTGGGACAGAATAAACAATCTAATCATACCAATTGAAAAAAAAATCTGTTTTTAATTTGCATTACTAACAGACAAAATTCTCAATGTACCACAGCTATAGAAACCTTTGTGAGGGCCACTAAGATGCATGTAAAGAGCTGCATGCAGCCCATGGGCCGCCAGTTTGACACACCTGATGTAAATAATGTAGAAAAATGTTTGTTAGAAACAAAGAAAAAAGTGCCGAATTGTTATGCGATATTCATTCTTGCAAGGCAGAGACTGCTGGACAATCTCCCCATAAATGAGGAGGTCACTGGAGACAACAGAAATGTGGTTGTACAGAAGGGTACAGAGAATGACATGGATAGAGTAAGCAATGACAGAATCTTAAAAGAAAATGGCAACAACAAAAAGAGCACATATTCAAAATCAGGAATAGACACATAATGAGGAAGGAGGGCTTAGGAGAGAGAGAGAGAGAGAGAGAGAGAGGAAGGGAAAGGCAGCAAGCCATTTAGAATTGATGGTGAAATGGGATCAGGAGGCATAGCAAAGGGAGATAACTGCAAAGAGCCAAAAGAGATAGGAAGTTTTGGAGAGCATTGATCGGCCATGAACTGAAGGTCATACAAGCTGAGGATTTTTCAGCAATGCTCATATTACTTTTCCAAATTTCTATTATAAAGCTGAATTACAGTTT